TTAAATAGCACTGAGATAACCTTGAATAACAGAGAAAACTAACATTGCCGCATCAAGGTTTCGAATCGTTTAAAAAGATGATTGTTTCATCTGCTACATCAGTCGGTCGATTCTGAGAGAGAGAGAATATTCGTATGAGCAATTCATGTTTCTATTGAAAGTAAGTTAACAGTAATATTTGGGTACAGTATTTTTGTTTTTGGAAGCATTCACCGTAATATCGTATCAACGTTTACTTCACCGCATCATCGTATGAATGATGCGAGAAGAGATTAACGGGTTCTTAAGTTAGCGATTTACGTACTAGGCGCTTTCGCTCTCTAAATTACAGCTTGAATGAGGGGGAGGGGTATGACTACACTCACAAAATTTATATCTTACTAGGAATTTTATATAACAAAAGTTATATACATAACTGTTACGCTTTGTGTAATTCAACAAAACAAACAACACTTAACTCCGAGTTCTCTCCAAATTTCACGAGTCCGTTCTAGACCCCACAGTTTTTAAAAAGAGTTTTAAGCACACAACACATAATTAAAGTTTAAAAAATCATTAATTATATAAACTTTTCAATAATTTCCTTCTTCACTTCGATTTAAATTTTCTTTAAAACCTTCTTCTCACCAACATTACCACTCATTACCACTTTCTCCGAAGGCAAGTTTGTAAAATAATGCATGGTACAGACAGCAGACATCTTGTGTCCGGAGATCAAATGCAAATTTGAAAAAGACAGCTTATCACGCAGGACTGTGACTCGCCGTGTGGAACTGATTGATAAGAAAATATAGCCAGTCAATTAAACAAAAAGTCTGATTCCTTTGAATTATATTCACTAGCACTGGATGAAAGTACGGACGTAAAATACACTGCTCAGCTCCTCATTTTTATCCGAGGCATTGAGAATTTTGCGATAATAGAGGAGGTTTTGACCATAGAGTCACTGAAAGGAACAATGCGGGGAGAGGACTTGTATAACCAGGTATCTGCTGTCATCGAAAGAATGACGCTACCTCGGAGTAAACTTGTCAATGTCACAACGGATGGATCGACAAATTTAACTGGAAAAAATGTTGGGCTGCTGAAAAGAATCCAGGATAAAGTGAAAGAGGAAAACCCTGTCCAGGATCTTATCTTCACTGCATAATCAAACAGAAATCCCTGTGTAAGTCTGCATTGCAGCTTAATCGTGTCGTGAATCCAGTCGTAAAACTTGTGAACTTTATACGAGCAAGGGGACTTCAGCACCGTCAGTTTATTACCTTCCTGGAGGAAACTGATGCGGATCATCAGGACTTGCTATACCACTCTCGTGTCCGCTGGTTAAGTTTGGGGAAAGTGTTACAACGAGTATGGGAGCTGAAAGAATATATCATCGCATTTTTAGAGTTGATGGGGAAATCTGACGAATTCCCTGAGCTAAGCGACAAGAACTGGCTTAGTGACTTTGCGTTTGCTGTGGACATATTTTCACACATGAATGATCTGAATGTGAAACTGCAGGGAAAAGATCAGTTTGTTCACGACATGTACAAACATGTGAAAGCCTTCAAATCCAGCTCACTTTGTTCTCCGGACAAATTGCGAACAAATCTTTTGCTCATTTCCCCACACTTGCCATGCAGGAAGAGGCAACGCGAAACGCAAAAAAATACAGCAAATCACTTGAGGACCTGCACGGAGAATTCTGCCGTAGGTTCTCTGATTTCGAAAACATTGAACAGTCACTTCAGCTGGTGTCCTGTCCCCTGTCACAAGACCCTGAAACAGCACCACAGGAGCTGCAGTTGGAACTGATAGATCTTCAGTCTGACTCCGTCTTAAAGGAGAAGTTCAACTCTGTTAAACTGAATGACTTTTATGCTTCACTTAACAGAGCCACGTTTCCAAACCTCCGGAGGACTGCACAGAAGATACTGACTTTGTTTGGCTTGACTTATGTGTGTGAGCAGACATTCAGCGTAATGAACGCCAACAAAGCCCGTCACAGATCAAAGTTAACGGATCAGCACCTCAGATCTATCCTGAGAATTGCCACAACCAAAATAACTCCAGACTTGGATGCACTGGCAAAAATGGGAGATCAACAACACTGTTCCCACTGAAACTGAAAGTGATGATGTGTTGCTGCAGCGAGATTTAAGCCAAATCTCCGCAACACAGCCTGCGTGGCTGCTCTAACCTGTTAATGTAGAGGTAATTGGTTTGGTGCAGGGCTCAGATGTTTTCATGATGTTTGATCAGTCACGTTACAACATGTTTTTGTATTGTTCATGTTCGTGCAATTTGTTAAATTGCCTTGCAAATAAATGCTTTGCTACCTGTTAAAGGCCAAATCCGTAATGATTTTACATGTCATTTTTATTAGTTCACACAAACACTCCATCCACCTGTTCCTGGCCCGGCCCCTCTGTCAAATTTTAGAACCCATTGCGGCCCGCGAGTCAAAAAGTTTGCCCACCCTTGTACTAGAGGATGTGTTCCTCAGCTAACGTTCCTCGTTAGCTCCTACTACACCCCTCTATCTCAGACCATCCTAAAGGAGGCTAACTGACCTGGCCCAGCTTCGGCTCACGTCCGACTCTCAGCCACTCGAGTCTGGGCCCTGGCTTGCCCTGCTCGGCTCTTATAAGAACTGCGAGACAGGATAGTCCCAGGGCTAGGCTAGTCGGTCTTCAATCTTCACTGGCTCTTCATTCAGCAGTTGGGTACAGCAGCAGCAGTTGGGTACAGCAGCGGCAGCAGTTGGATACAGCAGCAGCGGCAGTTGGGTACAGCAGCAGCGGCAGTTGGGTACAGCAGCAGCGGCAGTTGGGTACAGCAGCAGCGGCAGTTGGGTACAGCAGCAGCGGCAGTTGGGTACAGCAGCAGCGGCAGTTGGGTACAGCAGCAGCAGCAGCAGTTGGGTACAGCAGCAGCAGCAGCAGTTGGGTACAGCAGCAGCAGCAGTTGGGTACAGCAGCAGCAGCAGTTGGGTACAGCAGCAGCAGCAGTTGGGTACAGCAGCAGCAGCAGTTGGGTACAGCAGCGGCAGCAGCAGTTGGGTACAGCTGCAGCAGTTGGGTACAGCAGCAGCAGCAGTTGGGTTCAGCAGCAGCATTTGGGTACAGCAGCAGCAGTTGGGTACAGCAGCAGCAGTTGGGCACAGCAGCGGCAGCAGTTGGGCACAGCAGCGGCAGCAGTTGGGCACAGCAGCGGCAGCAGTTGGGTACAGCAGCAGCGGCAGTTGGGTACAGCAGCGGCAGCAGCAGTTGGGTACAGCAGCAGCAGTTTGGTACAGCAGCAGCAGCAGTTGGGTACAGCAGCAGTTGGGTACAGCAGCAGTTGGGTACAGCAGCGGCAGCAGTTGGGTACAGCAGCGGCAGCAGTTGGGTACAGCAGCGGCAGCAGTTGGGTACAGCAGCAGCGGCAGTTGGGTACAGCAGCAGCAGCAGTTGGGTACAGCAGCAGCAGCAGCAGTTGGGTACAGCAGCAGCAGCAGTTGGGTACAGCAGCAGCAGTTGGGTACAGCAGCAGCAGCAGTTGGGTACAGCAGCAGCAGCAGTTGGGTACAGCAGCAGCAGCAGTTGGGTACAGCAGCAGCAGCAGTTGGGTACAGCAGCAGCAGTTGGGTACAGCAGCAGCAGCAGTTGGGTACAGCAGCAGCAGCAGTTGGGTACAGCAGCAGCAGCAGTTGGGTACAGCAGCAGCATCAGTTGGGTACAGCAGCAGCAGCAGTTGGGTACAGCAGCAGTTGGGTACAGCAGCAGCAGCAGTTGGGTACAGCAGCAGCAGTTGGGTACAGCAGCAGCAGCAGTTGGGTACAGCAGCGGCAGCAGCAGTTGGGTACAGCAGCAGCAGTTGGGTACAGCAGCAGCAGCAGTTGGGTACAGCAGCAGCAGCAGTTGGGTACAGCAGCGGCAGCAGCAGTTGGGTACAGCAGCAGCAGTTGGGTACAGCAGCAGCAGCAGTTGGGTACAGCAGCAGTTGGGTACAGCAGCAGCAGTTGGGTACAGCAGCGGCAACAGTTGAGTACAGCAGCGGCAGCAGTTGGGTACAGCAGCAGCAGCAGTTGTGTACAGCAGCAGCAGCAGTTGGGTACAGCAGCAGCGGCAGTTGGGTACAGCAGCAGCGGCAGTTGGGTACAACAGCAGCGGCAGTTGGGTACAGCAGCAGCAGCAGTTGGGTACAGCAGCAGCAGCAGTTGGGTACAGCAGCAGCAGCAGCAGTTGGGTACAGCAGCAGCAGCAGTTGGGTACAGCAGCAGCAGCAGTTGGGTACAGCAGCAGCAGCAGTTGGGTACAGCAGCAGCAGCAGTTGGGTACAGCAGCAGCAGCAGCAGTTGGGTACAGCAGCAGCAGCAGTTGGGTACAGCAGCAGCAGCAGTTGGGTACAGCTGCAGCAGCAGTTGGGTACAGCAGCAGCAGCAGTTGGGTACAGCAGCAGCAGTTGGGTACAGCAGCAGCAGCAGTTGGGTACAGCAGCAGCAGCAGTTGGGTACAGCAGCAGCAGCAGCAGTTGGGTACAGCAGCAGCAGCAGCAGTTGGGTACAGCAGCAGCAGCAGCAGTTGGGTACAGCAGCAGCAGCAGCAGTTGGGTACAGCAGCAGCAGCAGTTGGGTACAGCAGCAGCAGCAGCAGTTGGGTACAGCAGCAGCAGCAGCAGCAGTTGGGTACAGCAGCAGCAGCAGTTGGGTACAGCAGCAGCAGCAGCAGTTGGGTACAGCAGCAGCAGCAGCAGTTGGGTACAGCAGCAGCAGCAGCAGTTGGGTACAGCAGCAGCAGCAGCAGTTGGGTACAGCAGCAGCAGCAGCAGTTGGGTACAGCAGCAGCAGCAGTTGGGTACAGCAGCGTCGCAGCCCACCACGACTCGTCTTTGTCGCGGCCCTTCGAGTCGCCGCGGGCAATTTTCCGCGGCGCAGCTGCTGATGTTGCTATGGCAACCACGTGGGGTGGGGTGGGGGCGCGTGCGGCGCGTGGGCCGACCTCAGATAACCTCGCGCGTTCGTTTCGGGGGCATGACGTCACGGCCGAATCGGGGCTAACGACGTCACGACCGAAACGGGGCTAAAAACGTCACGTCCGGGGCAAGTGTGAGGGCGAGGAGGGGGTGGGGGCAGCGCGTGACCCCGTGAGGAAGACTTCGCCAACTGCGCATCCCACCGCTCCTCACACACTCATCACCCTGCTGCTTGCTCCGGCTTCTGGTGCCGCCGCCGCCTCCGCCGCCTTAACGAGAAGGTGGGTCGTAGAGGAAGTGCTGCGCCGGCAACGGTGTTAGAGCCAGGATCGCCGAGTGTCGGGGTGTTCGAGGACCGAGTATGGGGGCGGGGGAGTAGATTTGGGGGGATCAGGAGACGAAGTTATCAGGGGCTGGCGGTCTCCAAGGGGATGTGGAGGGGTCCCTGTCGTGTAGCTCGTCAGTGGTCGCGGTGTTTAGGTGGATGTTCCTGTGCTGAACCCATGAAGGAGCCGTGAGAGGCTGCGCGCCAGAATCTCTTGTCCCCCCCCCGACTGATCACGCGGGGCGCATCGTTTCGGTTCTGTTTGTGTGGAAGCTTCGCGTGGCGTCTGTGCGGTGTCCATCAACAACCGCACGCCGAGCGACGCGCGGAGGCACCGAGACAGTTATGGCTGCGTAACAATCGCATATAAAAAGATCCCCCGTTATAGCCTCAACAGACTGTTGAGGCTGTGAGCGAGCACCTGTGAAGGCCGACACTGCACGAGGGGGCGGTGTAGCCAGACCCAAGTTCCGGCGGCCTTCGTCTCCCTGGTGCTGATATTTACACAACGCATCGGGTACTTATTTAAGGATGAGTCGACCTAGGGGAGGCCCAGGACCGGTTCGGATAATCGTCACTGGTGTTGGTGGCCGTGAGCGGGAATCGAACTCTAGCCTCCAATGCAGCACAAACTACTCGGCCACCGCTCCCCATAACAAACAACAACAACCGCGCGCCTGGGACCTTCATTTCTCGGCTCAAGGCAGCACGGGGGCGGCCCTCACCCACTCGTTATATACTTGACCCAGTGTTGGGACATCCTACGTTCCTTTGGCAGGGATCGAGTCACTCAGATGTAATAGCGGCGCCAGGGTGGTGCTACCCCCCCCTCTTCGGTGCCCGCTGCTTTCCTGGAGGAACATTGCGGACGTTTATAGCCCCGCGTCCGTCTCGTGTCCAACTCGGCGGTGAGCGGCGCCAGAGAGGGCAGTTGAGGCCGCGAGAGTAGCCGGGTTCTCCCCACCCTCCCCTGCGCGACTCCACGGCCGACGCCGGAGACACCGGCGCAGGCAGTGACCTTGATACACAGGCGAGAGAGGAGATGTCATTTCCCTCGCCTCGCCTGGCGTGCAGGCCGCGTGGGTTCGACCCCGACCGCGGACGATGCCTTTTGTATATTTGGAGTTTCCATGATCTCTCTCCCCGTGGTGGTCGCGTGGGTTCTCACCGTGTTTCCCCCCCTCCGCATTTACAAACGTGGGTCTTAGATTATTTGGCCGCTCCTCAAAATTCCCACCTGATATACGATACTTCGATGAGCTATCACATGTGACCACGTAGCCTCTGAAAAGAGCTAGCAGTTCAGTGGGCTTTACCTGGTAAAATGTAAATACTGTAGTTAAATAGACTCCACTCCTTGGTGCCACGGACTCTCTGACTGCCCTGCTCTCTCACATCGGTTGGACTCCTCGCCCACGTGTCACTGTCGGCCCTCAGAATATGGGCCCCCCTAAACAGTGGCTCGCATGGCAACGCAGCCCCGCAAGATATTTCTCAACGCCTTATCTTTCTCACGCTCCTCCACTTTTATCTCTGGGCGGTGGCGTGAACTCAGCGGTGATGCGTTCGCTACTTGAGTTTGACTATATTTGACTTGTTCCATGGACAATCCCATCTAGCCAGTTTCCCGGCTGTTTTACATGGGAGATCCGCGCGGCGTAAGCACAGCAACAGGAGATAAAAACGCGTCAAGGTTGCAGTGAACGAGTACTGGGTCCTTTATAAATAGAGTTCTTTCGGTAAAGTCACGTAGGTAGAAAAATAATAGATCACGACGCTTCGATCGCAACACAAGCAATCGTCATCAGGTGGGACAACCACAGCAAGAAAAAATGGAAGTATGCAAGAGATCTGCCATGGCACGAGGTTATATAGGCCTCGGCAGTAGGGGTGAGAGAGAAGGGGGGGGATACTTTTTACCAAACAAAGTTTTAACAATTGGAATTGTTTATAGGGATAAGGAGGCACTTGTGAGGCTACGGGGGGGGGGGTGTAGAGGAGCTGAGTGGCCCTTTAGGTAATTGGTCGATTTGTTGAAGAAGACCTTTCGGATGAAAATAGCACAGTGCTGGTCTCTGGATATCCATGGGAGACAGATGACAGTGAGTGTACAGGTTGCGATTGTGAGTTCCATAGGTGGGCGGTCAAGGGCAACACGGAGAGCACAGTAGTGGTGTCGTGCAATGAGACGTTTTAAGGCAGATTCAGAAGCTAGGTGGTAGATGTTGTCACAGTAATCAGACATGGGCAGGATGGTGGCAGTAGAAGGACTCTTCTACTTACGAACGAGTTAGGTTCCAGAGGTCAGTTTGTCCATCTTTACTCCTGTCCATTCCAAACATGTTGTACGGCATGTACACTAAACATGGGGAATGGTTTTAAAAGTTGCATAATCTCCTATAGATGTAGATGCCACTGGTTCATTATGTTCTGCAGATCTATTGCGCGGCAGTTGGACTTAGAACTCTCGGTCAAAACAGGCAACCGCACATACGGACAGGTTTGTTCGTATCTTTCAAAGTTCATAAGTCGACTGTAAGTAGAGGAGTCCTTGTATCTATATTCGAGGTGGAATGCAGCATTTGGTTCTGTATAGTAACCAATTTAATTTGTTTTTATCTTGTTGGCCACGTGGTCAATATGCGTCTCAAAAGACAAGATCGAGTCCAGAATAACGCCTAGATATTTAAAGTTGACCTCAATAATATGCGATTCCAGAGCCGCAATATGCATAGGTGGTGGGACAGGTTTAAGTCCTGTTTTAGATACTCTTGTAACTTCCTCCATGGAGTTTATAGAGCCCATCAGGACTGTCAGCAGGACTGTCAAAGTGCAAATTGGAGATGTCTCGATTGTTGATGTACGCGTTTTGTCAAGGTTCACAGTTTGAATCCCAGATCACCCTGATTATTACTGACGGTATAATTTCCAAAGAAATTCTACCTGCCGTCTGCCTCACAGTGACCCATGACGTCATTCGCAGACATCACGGGCTAAATTTGCCAAATTTGTTAATTACACGACAAAGAACGCAATTGGAATTATACACAGTGATAATCACCTCCTACTGGCAGACTACTGCCCCAGGTCACTCTAAATCCTGGTCTCCTGAGTTCTCACCTTCCCTATCTTCCCCCTTATCCTGCCTCTCTTATTGTGTCTCTCTCCAATTTCCTGTGACTCTGGGCCAACCACCGTCCGGGGTTGCCATTGCCAATTGGCACCTGCTGGCCCGGCACTGCACAGGGGGGGGGCGTCCGATTCCAGCTCGAGCTGGCAGCTGTGATAGCACGGGCTGTGGGTAAGGGCAGGGCGCAGCATGGGGACTGTGGACCCTCGGCTAGCGTGGGCCCCTCCCCCTCTCAGGTAGGCAGGCAGGCCAAAGGGCATACCTGCCTGCGATGCGTGTTCAGGTGTGAGTGGCACGGGGCGGACAAGGACATTGCCGGGGTGACGCCGCTCGTTGGGATTCACTTCGAACTCACGGTGATGCTGCGGCGGTCAGCGCTTTCCTGTTGAACCGCGTGACCGATGCGTCGGTTAAACACCAGGTTCGGCGGTGCCTTTGACACGGTCTCGTTTCTGCAGCTGCACGTTCGCAGTGGTCGTCCCCTTGACACAGTGGAGACGCGGGGAGCAGCTTCTATTCCCTACTCTCTGTCTTTGGCTTGTCCAAACATGTGTAGTAAGTATTTAGGAGGCTTGACGACAGGGTCGGAGGCACACTTATTTATTACACTAACTTGTGCACAGTAACGGGTACACACAGTACTTAAGGGGGTATCGTCCCCTTCACTTGGCTACAGGGATACACAACATCCAACCCCGCTAACCTACGCCCAAGTCCTCCACTACGGAGCTAGGGGAGGCTACCTATCCCAGCCCTGGTCAAGCTGGGATCCCGGCACCCTGAGTCTCCAGACCGGCTCGTCAGTCTGGGCTCTCGCGGCCACGCCACCGGCTTGCCCTGGTCGACCCTGACAAGGACAGCGAGCCAGGGGAGCTCTGGGGCCTATTCTAGCTGGTCTTCCGTCTTCGCTGGTTAAAGCTGATCTCGACCTCGAGCCCTCCGGCTCACCACCCTTTATAGGACTCGGCCCCCGGGAGGGGCCCGTGGGGGATGCAGGTGCGGACGTCGGTGCGAGCACCTCCCCTGTGTACGGCCCTAACCCCGCCCATTGTGTTTGTTAGCCATCCGTGGCCATGCACAATTACACCTCTACCTCCGTGGCCATGCACAATTACACCTCTACACATGCACTCTTGTTCACTCTCTGGTTTTCTCTCCATAGCTGCTGCTTCGCTAAAAAAAACGCTTTGGAATACGTCGAATTTGGTACACGTCGTATTTTGACGAGAAAAAAAATGTCTTGGGATACGACGTCTTGCTTGGGATTCGACGCGCTTGCTAGAACTTGTTTGGGTCAGGATGAGTCACCGCGTACCCGCATATACCCCGTTCACGACTGAAACAAAGCGCCGCTCCTCAGTCTGTTTGTACAGTAGTTTTAATGGAAGGGGACTCTCCTTCAAAAAATAGCATCTCCTCCTCCTCCCCTTCCTTACCACCATCCTCGTAGGCTATCAACTCCTCTCAGCAAGGTATTTCAATTTATTTAAAATTTTTATGCATTTATTTTAATTTATGTATGCATTTTAGTAATAAGTAGTGTCTAAATTATATTATACAACCCCATTAATGTATAATATGCCATATAAAATATCATTTATTATACTCTGTAAGAGATTATTTCCTTTCGCTTTATTTCTTATGGTAAAAATTCGTTTGGTATACGTCATTTTCGTTTAAGTCCTTCTGGAACGAATTAACGACGTATACTGAGGTACCACTGTATTCGTGTTTCACACTTGGGAACTGACTGCTGATTTGCTGACTGCTGCTTCTATATCCCGAGTGATTGGCGGAACGACCGATATGCGTCTCAAAATACATCTGTAATTATGTTTTGAGTATTGCTGAGAGAAGAGTGCTCAATGTTCCGTTTCACTAGCCTTTTTCGGTTAGCAGACAGCACTGCACCGCGGTGGCTGTTGCAGCTCCACGGAGAGCGTCTATCGATCACAACATGGAGAGCTCCCTCTCTCTATCCCCGCCAGTGACCATGAACCCCCTGCTGTTGTGGCTGCTGCTGTTCGTTGTGAAATCGCCATCGTCTGTCGTGAAGCTGCTTGTCCGTTGCCGTAGTGTTCACTGCTGTGGCATTTCTCTTGCTGTGAGCACGGCGAGGCTCTATTGAGACACCAGTCTCTTGCGAGGGAGGCCTGGGTCGCAGTCCCTGAGGTGGAAATGCATCCCCCCCCCTCGCATAAATTGAAATAATTGGTTCGCTTGATGTTGGCGCTATCATTTTAATAGTGCGGGGGCAATCACCGCATAGGAAGCTGCTGCTGCTGTGTTTCACCTTATGGCGGGACCCCGGGGTCCCGAATAAACGGAAGTCAAAATCGTAATTAATTAATATATTTTTGGCGACTCCGTCCCACCACGCACATCAACGCCGCGACCCACCTAGCGCGGATCATTCACCAAGCACCTGTCGTTGCCAAAATTGTCGTAGTCATAAACAAAACTTTTAAACTTTGATTAGTGCATCGTATAGAGCTCGTCAAGAGGAATAGATTGGCGTATCGTTCGCCTTCAACAGATATAAAATGAACTCGCAAAGCAGTTTATGCGAGAGCTGGGGGCTTATGGGACCCCGGGGTCCCGCCATAAGGTTCATATGTCACAGGATTACAAACGCACAAGGGACAGATTTAACGAGTCCCGTTGAGTCAACGTAGCAACGAGCCTGCCAGGAGACTCGGCATAACCACTCTTCTTCCTGGGGGGCCGTTCTCATGTCCCCTCCACTGCCCTGAGCCGTTAGTGGAAATTGCTAATTGCAATGGTGGGCCCGAATCTCTCTAGGTCAACTACTGTCATTTTACATCGAAATTGAAAGCTATTTTTTTTAAACTGCTTTTTGTGTTTAGTTTGTTGTCCTTCCTCCGCACCTCCGATTACACGGTTGGCTACGTACGGTGTGAAATAATTTTAACATACATATATGCAGAGTGGTAGTTATTTTACTAGCCCCAGAGGATTGCAGGTTGGGGTGGACCATGGTCTGAACTCAACACCTGTGGCATAAGAGAGCCTTGTAGCGATTCATGATACTTGGACTGAATCGTGCGTGTGGGAACAGCTGTTCCGTCGGGTCTGGTGTTACACGGTGACGCGATGTGCAAGTTGCTGTTAGTATTACATTGCTGCGAAAGGAGCTAATGACTACCGTACAATTGAAACGGAATAAACCAATCAACCAATACCTCAGTCGTGACGAGCTGTGAGTGACACCGGTGGTGTGGGGGCCCTGGGCTGATAATGCATACACTCCACCGCACTGCCACACCGCACTGCGGTGTGCCGCAAAGCCACACCACCACGCAACACCATTACACCGCAAAGCCACGCGAATTTTGTGATTGGAGAGCAAGATGCAATAATAGTAGTCTGTGGTCCTGCATGCAGAAGGAGGCACGATGCTGTCGAGGGGCTGCCTGGCAGGCCGGGCGTGTGTGACGGGCCGGGTGTGTGTGGCCGGCGTGCGGGGCCTGAACACCAAGGAGACGGGGCGACCCCTGATGCTCAACCCCCGCACCAACAAGGTGAAACCCCCACATCATCTCTGGGTGTGACCCTTGACCTACTAACACCGACAGACATCACACCCGCTGCTTACCCATCCTCACCACCTACTACCCCCCACCCACACCCGACCAAGTCCACCTTTCCCACACCACATCATAAATCCACACACTGTACCATACACCACACATTACAATACACACACACCACCACACTTACAATGTACCACACAGCATTGTTCACCACATTCCAACTACAGAACCACCTCACAAACCACTTCACGCTACTGTACTGCGCACCACTGCAGTGTACGGTACAGCAAAGACAAAGGTCTCCGATATAGCCTGCAAGAGACTACTGGGGATAGTGCTGTTAGTGAGCACCTTTAAAGGTCGGGACAGAACACGAAGGGGTGGGTGGCCAACGTCATGCCCGGCTGCCTTTGTCTCCCCAGTGGCGATGTTTATACACCACACCAGGTACTCATTTGAGAATGAGTTGACCGAGGTGCTGTCCACCCACCCCCTCGTGTGCCTTGCTGGTCTTCATAGGTGCTCGCTAATAGCACTTGCTCCTACAGTCTGTTTTGGCTATATGAGGGATGTTTGTCTTTTGTGTGTATGTACATGAGGGAGTGTGTGCATGAGGGAGCGGTTGTGTGTATGAGGGAATGTTCGTGTATGTGGCACGAGGGAGAATCTGTGTGAAGGAGGCTCGTGAAGAACGCTGCTGGGTAGTTGAAGGCAGTTGCCTTTCAACAACAGAGGAGCAACGCTCTCAACAACGAGCGGAGCGCCGGGCACTCAACTCAGCAAGTCGGGAAAGTGGGGAAAAGAGGTGATGCATTTGCCGGTCATCTCAGTAAACCTGTCCACAAGCCTTCGACACTTCACGTGACCTCAAAGTGCACCTAGCCTGGCACAAGTGCCGTGGTGATGTCATTGCCACTTAATGGCAAATGGTCGCTTTTGTTGTGCGAGCTAGCGAGCATGTGTGTGTGTGTGCGCGCGCGATTGTGTGTGAAAGTGAGTGTGGATGTCAGTGAAAATGAGTGTGTGGTGTAGCCCTGTAACTGTGTGTGTAGCAGTGTGTGTGTATAGCCGTATAACAGTTTGTGTAGCTGTGTGTATAGTTTTTTTTTGTAGCGTTAATAACACTGGTCAACAACAACAAAAAATTCTGGCCTGGACTTTTGCAGCTGTTTTAGACTAATTTCAGGGTGCTGATTCCAAATCTGATCTCAGATTTGCTCTATCACATCAAATTTATATGCTATCGGCATACCCCATTATCATTGATTTTACGCGAAATTAACTCTGCCACTTATGATTGCAAGTTGTTGCGAGTCAGTGACTGCTTTAGTGTTAAAATATGGTGCTGTATTTTTAGAATAGTGTGATTATAATATCATTTTATATCCACATTTATTTAATATTTTTCTTCTGCAGGGCGTGATCTAACTGGCTACAACATCCGAAAGAAGGAAATGCAGTAATGACCCAGATATCTTCTGCTACATCTGTGGCAGCTTCACTTTGCAGGATCAAAGGCGCAACATAAATACCTTTGTCAAGAAGTTTTATCTTGCCTACTTTAAAGTATGACTTGGAGACCAAGACAAAAATTGGGCTCCTCACAAAGTGTGTAAAACCTGTGTTGAAACTTTGCGATCATGGTCTAAAGGAAAGAATGCTAAGCTGAAGTTTGGTGTGCCAATGGTTTGGAGAGAACCTACAAACCATTTGGATAACTGCCACTTCTGCCCTGTCAATGTAAAAGGTTTCAATAAGAAATACAAACAACACTTACAATACCCAGATATCCCATCTGCCAGACGACCAGTTGAGCACTGTGAGGAAATACCTGTGCCTGTATTTATTGAGCTACCAGAGATTGATGTTGAATCCCTCAGTTTACCTGCTTCTACAGATGATGATGATGATGTTCAGATCGAATATACGCCATCTGATGCAGATTGTGATAACATTTCTCTGTTTAGTCGGCCTGAATTGAATGATCTTGTAAGAGATTTGTATTTGCCAAAGCAATCTGCTGAATTGTTGGCTTCCAGGCTGCAAGAGAAAGGACTACTCAGACCTGGCACTAGTGTCTCCTTTTATCGTAACAGAGAAGCAGCACTGCGAAAGTACTTCCATTCAGATGGTCAACTTGTTTGTTGTAATGATGTTGAAGGGCTTCTTCTCAATATGGGACTGCCCGCATATGATTCAAGTGATGGAGACTTTTTTATTGACAGTAGTAAAAGGAGTTTGAAATGTGTGTTACTTCACAACAGAAATATATATGGTTCAATCCCAATAGGACACTTTGTAAAAATGAATGAAGAGTATGCCAACATCAAGATTGTTCTGGATAGATTGGAATACCATGTTCATGGATGGCTAATTTGTGTTGATTTGAAAATGGTAAATTTTTTGCTGGATCAGCAAGGAGGTCACATCAAATACCCTTGTTTCCTGTGCTACTGGGACAGTAGGGCTACATTAGAACACTGGGTTAAAAAGAACTGGCAACCAAGAATCAGTTTGACGCCTGGTGACAAGAACATCAAGAATGAGCCTCTGGTTGATAGGAATAAAATTGTATTTCCCCCACTGCACTTAAACTTGGGTTAATGAAGCAATTCGTCAAAGCTCTTGATCACACTGGAGACTGCTTCAGCTATATATGTTCAACATTTTCAAGTCCCAGTGCCGAGAAGAAAAAGGCAGGGATATTTAATGGCCCTCAAATAAGAACACTCATCAGGGATACACACTTTGTTACAACAATGACTGCGGCAGAGGCTAGAGCTTGGAATGCATTATCTGATGTGTTGTGGAATTTCCTAGGGAACAGGAAAGCGGACAACTATCGAGAGATTGTGGAGGAGCTGCTCTTGAGTTTCCAAGCACTTAGATGTAGAATGAGCATCAAGGTTCACTACTTGCATAGTCACTTGGCCCAGTTTCCAGAGAACATGGGTCACGTGAGCGAAGAGCAAGGTGAACGCTTTCATCAAGACATTAAAGTTATGGAAGAACGTTACCAAGGCCAATGGGACTCAAACATGATGGCAGATTACTGATGGTCCTTGATGAGAGACATTCCACAAGCCGTACATCAGAGATCGTCAAAGCAGAGGTCGTTTATGCAGATGTAACATCACTATTGTGAATGACCTTTTTGTACATATTTTTCTTATCTTCACAATTCAATTCTTACATGGTAATATGCATTCACTCACATTGATATGCAGTCACTCTCACAACTTTGTGCTACGGCTCATTAAATGTTTGTTTCATTATTATTGTTTATTGTATCTTATCTTATTCTTGTAAGGATATCTGTTTAGCTATTCGTATATGAGCATAAATTTGCTGTTTTATTGAAAATGCAATATTTGATATCTCAAAAACCTTATGTGATAGACAAAAACTGATGCCAGATTTGGAATCAACACCCCAAAATTACCTTAAAACCGTTGAAATACCTTATGCCAGAAAAAGTGTGACCAGTGTAATCGTTTGTAGTGTTGTAAGGACGGACTTCTAAACGTCTTTTATGGCACACACCGTTTATTATCTTAATAACACAGTCCCTATCACACTAAGGGGTATATGGTCCCCTCACCCGTTTCCCTCAGAAGGTACAAGCCTCTGGACCCTGCAGGCTATCTAATCTCCCTGCTCTCCCAGCGTCCTCTGGCTGGACCTAGGGGATCTCTCCCCGACCACTGGTTACTCTGAGCCCGAGCCCTGATAAGGGCTGGAGGGCTTGGTCCAGGGTCCTAGACGTCTTCGGCCGACTTGGGTCTTCGTGTAGCAGAACCCCTCCAGAGCTCTCAGCGCTCTGGCTTGTATACCTGTTCATGGCCGGGTTGTCCAATCCCCGGCCCCTTGTGAGACCCTCTGATTGGTCCTTCCCAATCTGGGTTTGGATCCTACCTCACCCCATTTGACCCTGACCGTTTGATTGAGCGGGAAAACCTTGTTTACGATCTGCTGTCACAGTTTGCGAACAGCAAGTAGTTAACACCACTACACGTTTAACGTTTTCTTTGGCAGTTTGTTTGATACGCGTTTTTCCGTTCGTGTGCCTGTGAGCTAACACTTGCATCTGTATATTTGTATTATTTGTGTCCCTGTTTCTGTTGGTGTATCTGTGTGCTTGTGTTCGTGTCTGTTTATGCTTATTTGTGCTTTGGTACTTTATGTATTGTACTGTGTACTTTAGTGTTTGGTACATCCTATTGTAGCTTACTGTACAGTGTTCAGAAGGGGGGGATTGGCACACAGATTTTAACAACTACAGGGGCATCTCTCTTCTCAGTGAGCCGGAAAATGTCCTGCCAAGGATTAATCAGCATCGCCGCCTTGCCAGGCAAGCTGAGGAGAGGTTTGCGGAGCCCAGATATGGTTTTAGACCAGGACGGACCTGCATGGATGTCATATTCTCCGTCCGTCTGCTACAGCAGAGGTGTCAGGAATTCCACCAAGACCTATATCTCTGCTTAATTGACCTGATCAAGGCCTATGATACCATCAACAGGCCAGGGTTTTGGGCTGTTCTTCATGCTTTCGGAGTCTCTGACTCTGCACACAATTCATTCGGGGCCTTCATGATGGTTGGCAGGCCAAGGTAAAGCTACGTGGCCAGGAGTCGGAGCCATTTCCTGTTAAATTTGGGGTACGACAGGGATGTACTCTGCTTTCCCACCTGATGATGGACACTTGTGTTGCGCCCGAAACGTCGTGATTTATTTTATTTTATACCTACGTGACTTTACCGAAAGAACCAAAGAGTATTTGACCACGTAGTTTGAGAATCTTTCCGTGGCTGAACCAGAGAAATTTCCATCTGGTACAGATACAATGGTAGACTGATTGATGCCCGGGTTCCGTCGGGGGATAGCTCCCTATTGGTCAGCCATGTTATGTATGCTGATAATCTAGTGATTACTGCTCACTCAGAGGTAGAGTTGGAGGTGCTGCTGCTGAACCTGGAGCGTGCTATGAAG